TCAAACAGAGTTAATGTCAGAATTTTCTTGATCATAATTAATAGAAAAGTTGTGCTGTGCTCATTCATATTCCATGCTTGAGTCATTTAAATCGATGTATTTGTTTGAATCATATGTAAGTAAAAGATGGATTTTCTCTTTAAAGGCAATGGTAACAAAGGTATGGTAAATCTTTGCCCATGTGGTTTGGCTAGTGTGGAGAAAGATTTTAAGTGGCGTTTCTTGCAAACATAAATATATGGAGTGTTTGCACCCACGTCATCTATGAAGATGAATGCTATTGACTGATCATAATCTATTTAAAATGGATACCATTGGGATCATCAGCCCCTATTTCAGATGCACTTCCTGTGCCGCCTTATGCGGGCAGTTCTTTACTCTGTGATTCCTTTCATTTTGTTTGTGTGGAAATATTTTGATAGTTTTGTATTCATGGACTATTCTGTACAACGTAACCTCTCAAGAAGCTTCATTTCACTGATAAATTTTACCTGTGGATTTTACAGGAAAGGGGTTTTATGTAGCACAGAAGTTCTTTCTCTTTAAGGAGTTATAGACAACCACTTTGAGAACCTCAGGAGGGCTATGGAACCTCTCATAAGCAAATCACCCATATATACAATTGTGTGAATATTTTTTTAGGTTATGGGGAACCTCCGAAGTCCATTTATGGACCCCAGTTTATAAGTCCTTGAGTCGACTTAGGAATGAGCCACAATGCCAAAGCTTACTTTCTCATTGGTTTAATTTCAAATAATGAATAGTTTCCTGAAGTGAGGATTCATCACCTACTTCATATTTACAGTAAGACATTTTTGAAAAATGAAGCCAAAATAATAAATTTTTAGCCACTGTAGCTTACATTGACACAGTAGCTGCAACAATGGGCTCAAACATAGCAACGATTGTGAGGATGGCGCAGGACTGGGCAGTGTTTCCTTCTGTTGTACGTAGGGTTCGCTATGAGTCAGAACTGACTCGACGGTACCTAATAACAACAACAATAGCTTATATAAATGTACATGTATTGTTTTGACTTTATTTATCGATAAAGAAGATATAGTCAACAGGGTAACTTTTTGTAAGTACTACTTTTTTTTTTTGTAAGTACCCATGGAACTATAATGATGTATTTTCAAGAGTATTAGAAAACTATATGTATGTATTTCACCAGGCATAGTGCCAGCTTTTAATTTATTTTTTTCTATTCTCAGTTTGGTACAGTGGAATGAGTTTGTAAGACTCCTCCTTTATTAATTAGAAAATTTGAGCACAAGAAGGATAAATAACTTAAGATCACAAAGCTAGTAAGTGGTAGAGTCAGGTTAAAAACTCAGGTCTTTTTTAAGGTTCAGAGCCCTCATGTGCTCCCCTATTCTGTTTTGCTAGGCTCCTACCCTTTCAGCTGAACTACTAGTATGCACTTGAAGCATTTCCAGTACTTTCTACCACATTTCATTTCTCACGATACTGTATGTCAGTAGAATATGGGTTAAGTAGCTGTTGGTAGCCCAGCTTCAGAAATGAACCACCATTTACAGTATCATCCTTTGGGGAAATGCATCTTAATGAAAAAATGGGCTTTTGTAATATAGCTCATTTTAAAGTTGGGAACTTATTACATATTTATAAAGGAAGCTATTTTAAAAAGCCTTATTTTATTGTTTTTACAGTTAACAAGAGCACAGTGTTGATGGTATTTAGGTATGGCTGTGCCTTTAACAATCAACTGGCCCCTTTTAAATCCTAATGATTATCATTTCTTTTTTTATGATGGTGGCATTTTTCACTTTTGATTATCCCTCTTGGGTATGTCATTGGGTAGGTAATTTGTGTGTGTGAATTATAGAACTTAAGTGCATCAGGCTTCTGATAAGAGTTGTAGGAAAAAGTAAATATGACACAAGAACTTTTTAAAAACAACCACTTAGTCCCAGGGTCCTCAAGGGCTGATTGTGTGCTGGAGCAGAGGTCACAGGTCAGTGATAATGCAGCAGAGTGCAGCACCGCTTCCTGATAAATCCTCTAGTAGATTTCTAGTCTTTTGCTCCACTCAGTCTTTATCTCAGAATTATCCTCCTTGACTTCTGACTTTGCTTCTTTGTGTTTCTTTAAGTGCGGTGTGAAGGCTGCAGATATTTTCTTACTAGACTTAGTCTGTTCCTTGACAGCTCCTAATAATAAGTTGAAACATGAAATATTCAAGCACACTAGTTATTTGATGTAAGTTCTCTAATGGAATGATTCTGGTGAATTTGGTAGCAAAATGAATAGTTAAAAATTTATTCAAATTAATAATAATCCCATAGATTCTG